CGTCCAGTTTCTTGCACTGATGAGCTGCGATCGTCTTCTCACAGTGCTTTGACAGCGTTTCGTATGTATTCGTTAACATTCTTCGTCTGCGAAAGAGTAAGATTGGCAGCCCGTAGACTCTGACAGGAGGACCAATCATTCGGTGTTGCAGGTTAACGCTGATTACCCGACGTCGCACACTCCCCTTGGTGGTCGATCTCTCCAGAAGGGTCTCGGGCAAGTCAAAAGAGTAGGGGTGCTCCACTATAAAATCAAAATCAAAACTGGGGTGTAGAGCATCGGGTTGCTGCTTTCCGTAGTCCGCGGAGTGTCGAATTTCCGCTCCCGGTTAACTGCTTCCAGCAGACTTGTCGCCGGGGGTCTAGCTAAGTCTTGCAGTAGTTACATGGCCAACACGTCACGCGAATCCAGCGACCTGGAGCCAAAAGCTTTGTGGACCAGGCCCCTGATGGCGGCTGCGTACTCTCTGACGGTCTCATTCTTCATCTGCACCCTCCGCCAAAATGTGTTTGTGCACAGCGGAATTGCTCGGTTCTTCGGCAAAGGTCTCAAGGGCTTTACAGATGTCTTCTACCGGCGTCTTGTCGTCGATACCTTCTTCCTCTAGAATATCCTGCAACCTTTCACTGATTCAGTCCAAAAAAGGACAGACTGCTCTCGTCCTGGTAGCGAAGACAAGTAGCGACATCTTCCTGCGGAAACGTCGCAGATTTGTTCCCACACCGAATACTGGCGAGGGTTCCAACCGTGGTAAGCTACCACTCGAAGCAGGGAAATATGAAAGTCGCGTGCAAACGTCCTGCGATAGTTCTTCCATCTCCGATTCATATGAACCAGGACTGGCTTTTTTCGATCCCATCCCTGTCGCCAAATTTGTATTGCTCAATGGAATTGATCTGGGAATGCACGCTGATCAGCACAGGTCTGAAACGGTAAACACAACAGCTGCAGGTTACTACTCGGTATACGAATAAGGAAGTCAGCAAACAGCACGTTCTCGATCGATACACGATATCGAGGAGACAGACGACCGTAGGGCAGCGTGTATTTGGCACAAATCAATCAATCGTCACACGGGGTTGTACAAGGAGGTTCATTGGTGGGAACTGATGACTGTTCGTACTCATGGTTCGTTCGGTCTGGTTCTGGCTGTTGGTATCCAGCCTCAACGCAAGCGATCTGGTTATCTGTAGGAGGAAAGATGAGATAGAGAGACACTAGGGTTGACATAGAATAATTATACTAGGGCACCGACCCTCCGCTGACTATTGCCGCTTTAGCTTATATATCAATGACCGTGACCTTGACCTGCGCTACACCAATTTGTTTCTGCCGTCATCGTGGAAGATTTATTTCTGTCTCTTTTGTACTTCTCCCTGTGGATTTATTGTGTAATTATGTACAGCAAGGACACAAAGAGACTCTCTCATTTATCAAAGTGCAAGAAGATCGTCGGCTCTCGTGCGAAGGCCCTATTATGTGATTTATGTCAATGTTGGCGTCATGGTACATGTACAAGCGTGCCGCCAGACATGTATACAACCCTCCAGACTTGTGACTCCCCAAATATGAAGTTTGTATGTGACGATTGTCTACCTACATTCCGCGCACCAAGTGTCGGCGGAGGAGTGCTGCCCTTGCCGACCGCAAGTGGGCTGGAGGGTTGTGAGCAGTAGTCTGCATCAGCCGAGGCACCGCCAACTGATACCGCCGATGAGCAAAGACGATCGAGACGTAGGCGTGCAATGAGCAACGCGCGACCAACCTCGAGTGAGAGACCCGCAGCGAAAGAGATCGAGCCNCCGCCGGCGCCACCAGCTTCGTCGTCCAACACCAACACCAGATCGTACGCCCGAGTCGCTGCTGTCACGCGTGCCCTCAACAGTGCTGCGACCAGCATCACCGAATACCCTGTGACGCAGCCGGCATCCCGAGGGGCCCCCAATCCCAGGCCAGTCTCCCGACCGGCCGTTGTAGGAGACCAGTGACNGTCAATATACCGGAGTCCACGAAACCCTCGGAGCAAGCCCGGCTTAACGCGGAAATGTCTTTGAGTTGAGGAGTCCTGGAGAGACTTTTCGTCCCTGGCGAGGAAATACAGGCCCAGGCGATACGATTGAAAGCCGCTTTCGGGCTGGGAGCCAAACGGGGGGAGGGGGGACGGCGTCCCCGTTCACTGAAATTTGTCCTCGGATCGATGGAGGAAACCAAGCATGTATTCCAGCGTGCCTTTCGCCTGAAAAGGGAACCCGCCAGGCTACCACGCGACCTCGACGCCGACGAACGGCAGAAGCTGAAGCGGAAATTATCCGAGATCCATGAGTGTCGAGCAAATGGTGAACAAGATCTCTTCATCCGGGATTTTCAGGTCCAGAGGAGGCGTCCACATTTCCGGTGGAGCCCTCTTGCAATACCAAACAAAGAGTCTCCTTCAGCGTAAACTGGAGGGACGCGCCGACGAATGACATCCACAGGTGTAGCCGCGCGTGCATTGTGTCCGCCAATGTACGTAGTGACTTGAACAAACGAGACAATTTGTAGGCATTTGTCATGGAGCACCCCCCGGTGGTAATCACCCTCNCACCCTCACCAAAACCTGGCTCACCCCCGACGTTCTTGACTCTGAGGTTTCTCTCCCGGGGTATGCGCCATTCCGTCCGGACCGTGCACAAGGATGGGTGGGGACGTCATGCTTTTCATCCACAAAATTGTACGGTTACCCTCCTCCACAGCTACGCGGATTCTGACGATCAGGGAAAAGCGCTGTGGTGCAAAACCAAACTGTGCTGCAACGGCTACACGACGATAGGAGTCTGCTACAAACCACCAGCGACAGCCCCGTTGGGCATCCTGGACGAAATGCGTCGATGGGCTGGCGACGGCCACTGTTTGATTAAGGGTGATTTCAATGTACCCCTAATAGATTGGGACGAAAACCGCTACCTGTCGAGAGCGGACCGATTCCCTAGAGACTTTCTCAAAGTCGTGAACCAGTTGACCCTGCATCAGCACTCCCTCGAGCCCACCAGGATCAACGATTCTGCCCAGTCATTCCCAGATCTGGTGTTATGCCCTCGAACATCGAACGTCGACGGTATCGACCACCTCACGCCACTCGGTTCGAGCGATCATTCGACTCTGTTGGTGCATTGGTGACGTGGGACTCCGTATCGCTCTCGACCATATTCTGGACCCAATGTCTGGAAAGCGGACTACGATGGCATGAGGATCGCAGCGCAGTCCCTCCCCTGGGTGACCACCTGTTCTCAGGGAGTAGACCTCGCCTGGACTACCTTCCGGGACGGCATCCTCGAATTGGTGGCAGCCTCCTCTCCTTCTAAACGCTTCCGGTCACACGCTTTGCCCCTGGTTTGAACACGGGCTACGTCAGATGCTTAAGCGTCGAAACACGGCGCAGATAGCGTTTTGCCCTCAAGGATTTAACTATGACCAATACAATGTGCTGCGTAATGCGTGCTGTGAAATAAAATCCAGAAAACGGCGGGTGTACGAAGAGGCATTGGCATCCGAAGCGGCCTCTATGCCGAAACATTTCTTTGCATACCTCCGCTGCCGCATGCGTGCAACAGCTGACATAGCACCCTCGGAGATTAACGTTGCCCTGGCAGAAACATATATGTTGACAAGGCGAAGGTTTTGCACAACACTATGCATCTGTCTCCGCTACCGGTACATCACCAACCCCCGACTATCGTGCTCTGCACCCCTGCTGTCTTGGCAAGCCATCTCGGTAGACGAGGGGCGTGATACACTTTCGGTTTTGAAACCGTAGCAGTCCCCGGATCCGCACAGACTGCATCTCATCGTGCTGAAGGAGTTGGCTCCAATCATTTCACCTACCTTGGCCGTCTTGTTTGAACACTCATTGACCGAGGGGAGGTTGCTTGCCAAGTAGATGACTGCGATTGTACGCCTTCTGTTCAAGGGAGGAGCCCATGGGGCAACGCCAACCACCGCCAAATCAGTCTTGTGTTGTGATGTTGTTTGAATTGGTCGTTTTGTTTCACTGCATCAGTTGCATTTTTATGATTGGTCCGTACAAGACTTTAAATTTGCTGGCCCAAACAATCTGATTGGTTCAGGTTTATATATAAACGCCAATGATTCGCTTCCCAAATGTGATTTGTGTCCAGTGGACTAGAGAAAATATATTGAGAGCATTTCCTGAAGAACCGACTTTTGACATGGTGGCAGCGGAAAATGATGCGAAATTCCCAATGTCGGAGAGAATGAATAGTCAACTGCAGGTTTAACCGCCGGTGTACCTGAATATGGAGGAGACGGGGCGATTGGCTGCTAACTGGAATCTGTGGCGAACACAGTATGGAGACTTTCGTACACTGACAGAGATGGACCGTGAATTCAGTCCTGTGCAATTGGCGTTGTTCCGTCACACGATTGGTCCGGATGCTCTGCGTGTAATAAATGGATTCACGTACAGTCCGGATGAGGATCGTGCAGATTCGCAGGTGGTGATGGCGAAGATGGAGCGCTACTGTCTTGGCGAATCTAACGAGACTTACGAATGATACATTTTCAACCAGAGGAAACAGCAACATGGTGAGTCCCTCAATACATTCGTCCTAGCGCTGAAATCCCTGGCTCGTTCGTGCAATTTCTGCGCATGTCTGGAAGAGAGTCTAATACGGGACCGAATTGTCTACGGCCTACGGGATTCTACTGTGGTGAAGCGCCTTCTGAAAATTCCAAAACTGACTTTGAAACAATGCATCGATATATGTCGGAGTGAAGAAGCAGCAGAGAAGCATATGGAGACGCTTACCACAACGGAGGACCATGGATTGTGTAGAATTACCGCTGAAAATCGAACACATCCAACGACTGCTTGCTGTTTCTGTGGCCGCATACATATGAGTGGAAGGAGCAACTGCCCTGCTTGGGGAAAAACGTGCGATAACTGCAAAAAGCG